CAGGGTGTTCAAGAAGTAGATAACTTCCTCGAGCAGGTCCGATCACTACAGCTTCCTGGCTTGGTGATATGAGAATGAAATTGACTAAAATCAAATAAAATCACGTTGTACATGTATGCATGCGTGTTGAAGGAAATGATGCATCTACCTGCTGGCAGCGAAGAGCGATTCGCAAAGCCCATATCCGACAGAAGCACCCCTTGTCCGATTGTGTTGCTTCATGCCATTCGAGATGATGTATCAAGTGCTAACAAAATTACAGTGAACAAATGTGCCGTTGCATAATTCATCCTGAAAATATGATAAAGTTTGCTCAAATATTCGGCATAAATCGCATTTGTGCTTACACAATAACGAGTTCGGTGTCTCAAATTTACTCCAGTAGAGCTGATCAGACTTCCAGGGAAACTCAACTGACTCGGGGACCGGTCCCACCGTTTGGGACAAATCAATGTCCATGACGGTGAGATCATCCAAACATCCACCAACAGCAACTGGTGCGGACTACGTAGACCACGATCCTTCGCATCCACGCTGTGACTTGACGACCGGCTTGGTCAGTATAAGTAACGAGCATTCCAGTTTGCTCAATATGACTTGGATAGCAGAACCAATCCGGATTAACGTTCCATTAGTGGTACTTACGGAAGCGATAAAACTAGGGTGAAAAAGTAACCTGAAATTGTGCAGAAAAATCATGGAATCAATCAAATTTATTGGATCCAACAAAAACTCAATAAAATTTTAATAACCTTTACAGGAACAATAACATTTTTTTTAAATGTTCACGCAAACCTTGAAAATGGTAGCAGCAATGCTAGATTTCAGATAGTATATATATTTTATTTTACGAAATTTTGCCACTTCTAATTTCCACTAGCGGTCAGAGTGACAAAGGCGGGAAATGCAAATGAGGGTTCAGGGCTGCCAGTAAAAGTTGATATGAACACATATTATTGAAAGTTGAACAATTTTTCTTTCAAATAATGAACTTTTAAAATTACAAGCCAAAATTGAAAGAAGTTCTTTTAAACTCATAGCGTGACTTTCATTTTGAATATATTAGTAGTTAAAACTACGAATTATGAGAAACTTTCAATTTGAAAATACATTATTATTATTGATACAGTTTTTATATTTTGTGTGTAGGGTCCAGGCTAGGGAGCTGCCTCCCATTCCTTGGACAAGGTACGCAGTACGGAAAACAAGATTGATGGAAAACAAAAAAAAATTAATGGCAATGCCACACTTCATCACAAGCAACAAATCAAAAATCAAAATGAGCAACCTGTCCATCACATTTATAGCTCCCATTTTAGTAAGATCTTGATGCCAGTTTTTTACAACCCTTAAACAGTAAACCACCTGAAAAGTGCTACCATCTCTTGCACCACACGTCTTATTCACTATTCTCAAAGCAAAAAAAAATAACCACCCCAATCAACAACCCCATCAAACGGTCTCTCGATTTGAATCGCGCATAAAATTATCGTCATGATCTCCAACGGTATCTTTTTTTGTGGATCAAACTCCATATTGTCTATATTTTCGCATGATTGCACTTCAATTACAACCTGCTTAATTCAATTACCACGGTTTCGCATACGTGAGCCGAGCCTAATATAAATCTATACCACAGCTCATTCCAAGCACTCTAGAAGAGAATGAAGCCGCAGTGACTTCACAAGCCTATAGTGTCTGCTGTGGCGAGGGCCACCTTGTTTTCGGTCGATGACGGCACAATCTTGATTGAATGGGTTTCGAAATACATGTATCATCCGCACCCATCCACACTCCACAATTGCGGCTGGTTGGGAGGTCGGTCAATAATTGGCGTGTGTACATGGCTTCCAATTGCAAACGAATATAAAAAAAATAAACCGAAATTGGTCTCGGTGATTGACACCGATTGATAATGCCATTTTCCAACCGAACCGCGAGCGAGCGCACGAGCCATTGCGAACACACATGATGGGTGGCACCTTGTTGAAGAGCAGTACAACCCCACAACCAATCGATCATCGCCAATTGCTAGACTCTAGAGAGTGTGATGCGCACTGCCATTCGGAACATTAACCACTGTTTCTCGGTTGTTTAATGCACCAAAAATCAATAAAAATTAAAAGCGATCGAGCTTACTTTTGACTGAGTTGAAAGGCGGTGAGATGGGTAGATCTGCAATCATCACCTCATTACCGATTGTGGAATGTTGGTGTGACTGCTGATTGGTGGTTGCTTGCTCTTCTGTCAGCGACATCTAGAATTTGTTGAATATCCTACATTAACCATTTAGTCAAACTTCTGCATTCCTTTTTTAGATGTCTCTGCTGTTGTTTGCGGTGACATCTATCGGAAACTACGCATAATCTGTTTTCCGATAATGAGCCATTAAGTCAAGGCTGTTTTTCACAAAGATGGTGCTGGTTCATTAGTAGTACGTAATAAAATCTCCAAATAGAAATTTGGAATTTTGATGCATATTCTGGTCAAAAAAGACGACGACAACCTTCACGCTAAGATCAGTTTACCTAGACGGTACAAAGAGATTACCGAGATTGGCCGTAAATTGCACAAACTCACATATGGGTAAATTTTTTTAACCCAAATATGGGTTCTTGTGAACCATAAATGATTTATTTTTATGAAAATTTGATTTAAATTTACCCATATTTGGGTTAAAAAATTTACCTATACCTGAGTTCGTGCAGTTTACGCCTGATTTGGGTAAAGTAAACCTATATTTGGGTTATCTGATCTTAGCGTGTTAAGAAATCATTCTTAAGCGCTGGCCAGACTGTGCAGTTATAACCACAAACGAAGTGACAGACGGAGCGGCTCGAAAACTTTGGTGACTAACCTGCTATTTCAATTTTTCAGTGTACGACATAGCAACACCACTACTACTAGATTGTACCACATGGCAACACTACTACTGGATTGTACTAGCATTTTCACCAAATGTATTAGAATGTTTTGGTTCTATCTCTTTCACTCTACTCAAAACAGAAATGCATAAAAAAAATGACAAAATGATACACTCTTTGTCAAAGAATCACTGTACACAAAATCAACTTTGTTCAAATCAAAACAAAAAAACTAACCCATCTGGTGGATGATGGCACAAGCTTCCAAGAAAATTCTATTAAAGTGAACCACATTATTTTAATGGATTTCTTCGCCAGTTAGTCGTCTGTCACTTCGTTTGTGGTTATAACATGTTATAACGGTTGTCAAAAAATTTCAACACAGAAACCACCATCAAGATAGCGCTATAACATGTTATAACTCTGTAGTCTGAACGTACTATTAGACTTTGTCTTTCAGTTTGTTCCTGGAAATTGTTGTTAAACAAGTCACAATTAGATAAATAAGGTTTTTTTTCCGATAAATTTTTTAGCCGCTTTACTACCAGTCCCCAGAGAGCCGAAAAATCCAAATTTGAGAGAGAAAATTCTCTCTCACGAGCTCAATCTCTCAACATGCCATGTATTTTGATTTCGATTTGTGATTTCCTCTCACAGACTAAAAAAAAGAGTACCTGACACCGCACACTAACTTTAGATTACTGGAGTCAGTAAAATATTACTGGGTTTTTGAATTGCGGATCGCCCAGTTATCATCACAAAAATAATTTGCATAACCGAACTGTCCGTAAAGTCAATCTGTCAAAAATAACTGTTGATTCAGTAATTGGTTTGAGTTGCGTATACTGGAAAACCCAGTATTTTGTTTTGTTTATTTTGCTGCAATTTAACTGATAAGACAGTTATTTGGTTCATTATTGTACCGTGTTACCCAGTTGTATTAAAAGTAGATAATGTGCAGTCATAAAAGTACGAATCCTGGTGCAATTCACCGTTTATAATATGCCAATTAATATGACGACTTAATCCCTTGACGTACCCCGGAACAGCGCATCGACAGTGAAAGCAAACAATGCAAACATCGATTTTGTTAATCAAAACTTGTTGGAGATCAAGGAACTGCAAAAAGGGTAAATAATAATTGTTGGTACTAACGAAATAGTACTTCAATTTCGCTGTCGAGCTTTCTCAGTTCCGTCATGATACAATTCATGATATAATTAAAATTTTAACAAAACTGCGCGATTAAACACTTGCTCCCGGATTTTACTGAAGCTAAAATGGCGGCAGGAATAAAATTGACAGGTTATAGTTTTACAATTCGTGGTCGGTAAAACAAGATGGCTATTTTGCTGACCAGTCGGTAAAAAAATAAAGACTACTTAATGTACAGTAATTATTTTTACTGACTTTTCGTGAAATCACGAAAATTTGGATATTAACGACTTTCTCAGTAAATAAATATTCTGTGTACAGTATTTTGCATCAAACGATACCGAAGTTCAGTTTGTGTTTTACAGAACGTCGGTTATTCACCTGATTTAAACTGAATTTTCAGTAAATCTTTCGTTTTACGGTGTAAGCCCAGTACAAAAAAATACCGAACAACTAAATGCTAGATTAGTGTGCGCAGAACATGTCGGGTACCTCTACATATGCATTTATATTAACCATCAAACCCAAGCAACACACTTCCATCGAAATGAGTTGCTGCAACTTGATTGTGACTGGAATAAGTTGCACAAAAGTAACCACAATTGTTCAGTGACAAGTGTGCTGCTAGGGGAACTCTCTCCTTTTGACATATTCTGCACAAAAGATACTTTCTGTCCCGCCCCATTCATTAAAAACGGCGCCAGGCTGTCAGGGGCGGAGTTTCGAAAGTATTTTTTGTGCAGAATATGTAAAAAAGGAGGGACTTCGGATGATAATCTAAATGCATATGTATAGGTCCCAGAGGTACTCTCCTCCCCTTGGATAATGTCTGGAGCCACCGATGCATTGCAATGGTTCAGATATCTCATGCAGTCAACCATTTGTCCGATAACTACTTCGTATGTATCTTCATAACAACATTTAAATTACCACTCATTAACCACTTCCATCTCTCTCTTTCCATCTATCCCTCTCTAAAAGCGTTCCGATCTTCAAAAACCTCCCGGAGGACACGCTGTGCAAGATTTCCGACGTGCTGGAAGAGTGCTACTACCAGAAGGGCGACTACATCATCCGCCAGGGGGCACGCGGCGACACCTTCTTCATCATCTCCAAGGGTCAAGTGCGCGTGACGATTCGACAGCCGGACGCCCCGGAGGAAAAGTTCATCCGCACGCTCGGCAAGGGCGACTTCTTCGGCGAAAAGGCTTTGCAAGGGTAATTGAGTCGATCATCATAATGAGCGCTACGGCAAAGTACCTTTTAAATGTATTCTGTCTCACACAGGGATGATTTGCGAACGGCCAACATTATTTGCGACTCACCGGAAGGTGTCACCTGTTTGGTCATCGATCGCGACACGTTCAACCAGCTGATCTCCAATCTGGATGAAATCAAGAACCGCTACAATGACGATGCCGTTAGCGCCAAGAAGAAGTAAGTAGAATTCTTCCAGACAAGGTAGCCTTAAGCCGCGGTCAATTAGTATGGTAATTTTGCATCTAATCGAAAGCATTCCCACTCAAGGAGAAGTCGTGAGTATATCATCCCATTTAAAACGGGTTTCGATGGCATCAGGATGTCCCTTAAACTTATTCGTTTTTGTTCAATCGCACTAGGATCTACGAAGAGTTCCGTGACGTACGGCTATCGGATCTACGAGTGATTTCCACGCTTGGCGTGGGAGGTTTTGGTCGCGTCGAGCTAGTTCAGCTGGCCCAGGACAAAGCACGATCCTTCGCACTGAAGCAAATGAAGAAGTCCCAGATCGTTGAAACCCGTCAACAGCAGCACATCATGTCCGAAAAAGAGATCATGAGCGAGGTATGACATGAAACGGCTTGAAGTATTGGTTCGGTTACTAATCGTCGGTCCAACTTTTGCAGGCCAATTCCGACTTCATCGTGAAACTGTTCAAGACCTTCAAGGATCGTAAGTATCTCTACATGCTGATGGAGAGCTGCCTTGGCGGTGAACTGTGGACAATTCTGCGCGATCGCGGTCACTTTGACGATGGAACGACCCGGTTCTACACGGCCTGTGTTGTGGAAGCCTTCGACTATCTGCACTCGCGTAACATCATCTATCGGGACTTGAAGCCGGAGAACCTGCTGCTGGACGTGTCCGGCTATGTGAAGCTGGTGGACTTTGGCTTTGCCAAGAAGCTGCAATCAGGTAGGAATGAGTGAAAGATTGGTTGGTCTGTCCAACCGCGTTTCCATGGTTAATAGACGCTCGGTGAGAAGGAGTTAAGTTCTTACTACCGAAGATATGTCCCACTATATCCATAAACACTTTCCGCTACTTGCTTCGGTATTGTTCAAATACGCTACTAACTAATACTGGCCTTCTGTTGTCCGGAACCGACGAAACAAGTTCTGGGGATTCTTTAGTTTTAGACTTGAAGCTAACTTTATTGTCCATAACTTTTACATGTAGTAGTTTCTCAACTTCAAACCATTGATGAACAGCACTGAGATCTAATGTTAAATTCAAAATTCACAGGACGAAAAACCTGGACATTCTGCGGCACCCCGGAGTACGTAGCACCGGAAGTGATCCTCAACCGAGGCCATGACATCAGTGCAGACTATTGGTCACTTGGTGTGTTAATGTTTGAATTGTTAACTGGTAAGTGTCGGATGACGTTTCGCAAAAAAACCCAAACATTTCTAACGTAAATCGACCGGTCTTCTAGGTACTCCTCCCTTCACCGGAGCCGATCCAATGCGTACCTACAACATCATCCTTAAGGGTATCGACGCCATTGAGTTCCCCCGGAACATCACCCGCAATGCCAGTGCTCTCATCAAGAAACTGTGCCGAGATAATCCAACGGAACGATTGGGGTACCAGCGGGGTGGCATCAGTGAAATTCAGAAGCATAAGTAATTTCTCGAGACCAACTTTCTCGAACCAATCACCACTACAAACATCATCCTCTATTTCAGATGGTTCGATGGATTCTATTGGGAAGGTCTGCGGAATCGTACCCTGCCGCCGCCGATCCTACCGAAGGTCCAGAGCGTAGTTGACACCGCAAACTTCGATGACTACCCGGCCGATCCAGACGGTCCACCGCCAGATGATCTGTCGGGATGGGACGAAGAGTTCTAAACCACCCTGTTAGCGAACTTCTACCCAGGTTTCTTTAACCTTGTTTCATTTGTGTTAGAACAGATTAAATTCGGCTTGCCCTCTTTCATCAGCCAAATCCTCAAGACCAAGACAAGCCTAATTTCGTGACGACATAGATTTTAGCAAGCATTCGTTTATATGTGTATGTGGAATTTGACAAGATGATTCGAATATTTTCAAGAACCCCCTGAATAACAAACACAACCACAAAATATATACAGCAACAACTACTGGAAGCAATGGGTGAACGGTAATCGCGAGAATGATTCTTTGAGCCATAAACATACTTTTCAAATCCCGTCAGAATCAGAAAATATACTGCGAAACAAAGCACTACTATATGATGATTGACAATGAGAACGATTGGAGGTTGCGTGAGAGATAGAAAATTGGAATGTGTCTTCCTAATCATATTTTAACATGTAAACCATTTTATAAGAGCTATTTATCCTTCTAAAAGAAAAAAAAGAGAGAACTTGTATCCGTGCTATATTTTTAATCTGTTATTTTCTGTTTCATGAAATCGAGAAAAAAAATGCCTGAAAATCAAACGCCCTTCCGCAAAATAACATCCGAACGTAAAAATATACACAGCTAAAAGCAAAGCTGCAGTGTAGTTATAGCTATTTGGTTGATTCAAGTCATCCCTAATAATCCTCTTGCCTGTGTAAAGCATTGATTTCCTCTTGTTGTGTTATGAAATGTAATTTGATTTCTTTTTGTAAAAAATGTACATAAAAAGTTTTCTTTTATTAGAATCAATCTGAAACGAATCAAAGAAATGAAGCGGATGGCCCGAATACAATTTATTAACTATTATTTGTTTTTTTTTCAAACCCTGATTATGAATCAGAAATCAAGATGGTAACAATAAAAAACACACCAACACTTAAAAAACGACGCTGACAGGAGTATAGTTTAACTCATCCGAAATTTTCCCTGTTTCTAATATAAATCCCGAGTAAATTAGCGGCTTTTCAAAAAAATATTTAGGCTCTGAACCATTTGGCGGTTTATATTAACTTTTAAGTTATCGATTAACCCTGCTATCCAAGCCACCGTTGCCAGAATGTTTTAAAGCTTATCGGTAACAAAGGTTTTAAAAAATCGGTATTTATCGGTATTTACTATTTTAATTATTTTATATTTTTGGCGTTTTTGAAAGCGAAAATTTTAACTTTTGACCATGATCGGAATTCCGGAAGAAAACTCGGGGGAATGTTTGAATTAGCTTCTGGAGGAAGCTGAAAACAATAGCCAGAGAAAGAAGCTTTCCTGGAGGAAATTTGAGAAACTTCTGGCGAAAATTTAAAGAAACTCAGAAAAAAATCGAATTTCACATTGAAAGGAAGGCAGAAAAGTTTCGGAAACCGGAAATAAATTCCAGAAGTAGCCATTTCCAGAGGAAGCTCGGAAAAACCTTCCGAAAGAAGTCAAAAAAAACTGGACAAAATTCCAGAACTAGACGAAAGAAATTTCTGGGAGAAGTTTAATTGAACTTCCTGGAGAAGACGGACCAAACTTCTTGGAAACGCTGGCAGAAATTTCCTAAGGTAGATTGGAAAAAAAATCTGGAGAAAGTCGGAAGCCAGAGCACTTACGGATCTGTCGAAAGAAACAAAGACATCATTCCGGAAGAAAGAGCTCTTGGGAGATGTTCTAATGATCCAGAAAATTTTCCAAATTGTCATAAAACATCCCTGAAGACCCCGCAATGCCCCTGAAATTTTTGGAACATTCCTGAAATGTACTTTATTCATCTTTGAAATACTTGGAACTTCCCTGATTAAGATGAGACTATCGGAATGTCTCTAATCAACTTTGAAGGTTTCTAGACTTTCTTGAAGGTTTCGAAATTTTTTAAGCACTCTCACAATTTTCTTAAATTTATTGTAACATCAGCATTGAAGTTCCCTGATCTTCCCGATTTCTCTATTTTTTAAAAAATTTCGACACTGCCATCAATAAGCACGGAACTTCCCATAAAATGTTCTCACCATGTGCTAATGTTCGTGTAACTTCCCTTACGTTTCTTAAATTTGTATGAGCCCCTTGGAACATTGCTGAAGTTTTCAGCAATTGCCTGAGTTTTTCGGAACTCCTTTAAAATTTCAGCAATTTCCTTAAAATTTATTGATCTGTCCTGATGTTCTCGGAGTTTACTAATGTTCTCTCAATTCTCCTGAAACTCAAAAGTCTGAACTTTTCTGAAGTTTCAGAACTTTTTTAAAAGTTCCTGCAGCTAGTGTGGACCCGCAATCAAAATCTAGAAGCATCCCTGACGTTCCGGGAAGAATCATTCGAGTGAAGGCAAGAGAAGTCGAAATAAGTTTCCAAGAGGAATCGTAAATAGAAAATTCCAGGGGAAAGATGGAAGAAAATCCAGGAAGTTAAATAATGTTTAAAAAGTATTACCCGATTCCCCCGGAATTGCCAGAAAGAGCCATCGACTGTTTATCGATTCATTGGTAGCCAAAAACAGTGGGGAAATTGAAACATTAATCGAAAGAGTATCCATAAGACATTTTTGAAGATGAGCAAAAACTGAAATTTTTCAAACATAATAATTTATTGGGTCTATCATATTTTATCCATATTTTGAACATTGTATATTATCAAACATATTCCAAAGCATGAGCATGATCACAGCTATCATACATTTATGAATGTTCTTCTTGTGCTATGATGTGTTTTTCTTAGGGCGACCATACCCGAGCAAAGTTAGAGATCAAATTGAAATCAGAGTTTACTGTTATGATGTAACTTATTTTGAATAATCCATTTGATTTCATTTTGGTTGACTTAAGGTTCTACAAAGGGTAAGTAATTTTGTGTTCTTCTTCTTTTTTAAATATCATAAAATCATCATCATTAGTTTACACATACATTCATATATTATGAATACGAAAATTTAAAACTTGTATTTCGTGGGTAAAACACGAAAATTTCCTGGGTAAAACACATTCATTGTATTTACTTACTTGTGTTCTTCGAAGTATAGCACAATTAAACGCAATCGAATACACGAAACTCAAAACAACTGCTTCACAAAACTCTTGGTGAACAAAATTCATCACAAAGAAAACCATTTCTACTTTACTGCTTTGCTAGCAATCGTGAAAGTATCATTGAAACAGCGGTGCCAGATGTATTGCCTCTAGCAATGAATTTAAGTTTATTAAAACAATTAATTGCGAAGTCTGCCTTATTAACATAGATGAGTGGATGTCTTTAATGATGGATAAATATCAAAAACTGATTAAATAAAACATAAATGACCATTTTAAACATTTTACCGGTCCAATTAAAAAAGTCACAGAAGATTGAATTCAACACTAACAGGGTTGATGGCAGCAGTGCACGTAGCCTGTTATACACTTTCCCGCTCAGGGGTGTAAACAAACTTGCATACAGCGCAGTCTGGCAGTGCTTATGTTTTGTCTGCTACATTCTTATCCACTAGATAGTGTGACATCACATTTGCTGTTGTATTGAAATGAAGGAAGAAAAGAGATGGTTAAGTTTTCCTCACCATACCAGTTGATATTTATGAAAAATGGGCAGTTTTGGCGTGGGGACATGCACTTCCAATGAATTTTACCAATACATTTAGAAAATGATGATCGAAGAATATTTCATAAAGAAAAAGTGAACAAAATAATGACCCTTTGTAGACTTAACTATTTACTGATTTTGCATTCATAACGTATAACTGAATACGGGCCTGGCGTAAATGGTTAGCATCTATGCTTTTCACATCGAAAGACTTGATCTCAAATCTCACCTCGGCCTATTCACGAATGACCTAAAATGTGTTAAACAAAACAAATAAACAATAATCGTTAGTTCAACGACAGAAGAACTTAAATCAAATTTTAAGCAAGCAATTAACAGCAGAACTTCAAGTTAAGTTGCTTTGATTTAAAATGTCTTGACTGCATAATGAAAGCTCAATATGAAATCAGACTTCTGTCGCGACAATTGAAATCAAAATGAGTCTTCATTATGATAGGAACTGCAAACATTAGTATCGATTTGCTTTCATTTTGTTAACCGACTTTGCTCGGGTATTGCCCCTGTTGCCAACGCCCCTCGTCTGTGAGCCTACCCAGGCTTCCAAAAAGTACAGCCTCCTCGCGACAGTTGGTTTATATCCTGAATTTATTGACTGTTGCTTTGTGTGCTTTACTACCGCTTGCTACCGTACGTTCAGATCTGAATTCGAAGTGTATTGGTAACAGCGCACGCACGAACGAATGAAAGCTGTATTAGAACAGTCGCATCTATACCCGCTTTGCTCAAATCATCGTGCTTGGAACGTAGTGAACCGAATGGGCTGTATTTATGCATTTCTTTATGACCAGGTTCTCAATGTTTCTGTCGTCATAACAGCCTTCACAAACCGACGACATCCCTCAGCTTACCCAAGTGGCTGTCACGAAAAGGCTGTCACGAGACATTATATACAATTGATATACGGCAGTGGAGTATGGAAGAAACCCAGAAGAATGATCCCGAACAGATATGTCGGCCCGATGTCGGATCAATGTATGGTCAATTTATGGTCGACGTCGGCCAAATGTCGGGTCGATGTCGGGTCAATTCTGTGTTTATGTCGGGTCAATGTCGGGCCAACATCGGGTTGGGTTTTGGTAGAAGTCAGGTTGGTGTCGGGTAGGCTTATATTTTTCGCCGGAGACCGTGCGTTTTAAAAAAAATATCGGATGAAAATTTTGCAATGGGCAGCACGAACGTGATAGCAACCGAACGAGCTACGGCGCCACACTGATGGTGGTAAGCTCCAACCGGTATTATCCTCGGATTAAATCCCGATCAAGAATGTCCGGCTGGTTTGATGTCGACATCAGAGTTAATCAACATAATTCTGAGCAAACATTTTTCAGATCGTATGATCTGTTGGCCCGACATTGACCCGACATAAACACAGAATTGACCCGACATCGACCCGACATTTGGCCGACGTCGACCATAAATTGACCATACATTGATCCGACATCGGGCCGACATATCTGTTCGGGATCATTCTTCTGGGTTTCTTCCATACTCCACTGCCGTATATCAATTGTATATAATGTCTCGTGACAGCCTTTTCGTGACAGCCACTTGGGTAAGCTGAGGGATGTCGACAGGGACGGTATTAAAAGTTAATCCGAGTTGGAGCTTACCGCCATGATAGTGTAGTAGCAGTCTTAAGCAAACCTCACACGCATCAATATATTGACGCGATAATATTGATGATGTGAATTCAGAAATATTGTCAATCTCAATGTATTGACGTCAATATAGAATGTATTGACAATACGATTATTGTCAATAAAAGCAATCGTGTAGGGTTTACTTTACGACATTCAAACAAAATTTCAAAGACAGCAGCAACGAATCGGCAGTTTGACGGACTGCTTGTTGTATGTACGAAGAAAGTTACGAATGATCATCCGAGGCTGTCATAGCCGAACGAACAAAATACATGAATAAGAACAAGCTGTCGTGAACAGCACAAGACGACAACGTTGCATGTCGTATAACAGCCTCACTGTGGGCTGTCGCTTATAGCTCAATCTCAAGGCTGTCGTAGGAAAAAGAAAGCTACAGCCGTTGGAATACTGTCATGAAGGTGTATTCATATCTGAGCGTACATTAGCGGAGCGGAGCAAAATTTGCGTTGAAATGAGAGAGACAACTAGTACTTTTCCCCCTCTCGTACCTTCGCAAAATTTCGCTCCGCGTGTGAAATATCGCTTAGATCTTAATACACCTTGAGGCGGTACTTTTGGTATGCCTGAGGCTGAGCCTACCTCCAAATCAACACTTCGGTACCAACTGAACAAGCGAAAGCTGACAAAACGAGATCATGGAGAAGAACAAAGAGTGCTTATAACAGCTTATAACAAAGCTGAATTGGTGTGACACGATGTCGAAAAAGATTATCCAAATTTATTTGCCTAGCTTTCGCGTATATATTTACATTTAAACCTAAATTTGTTTGCATTTAAACCTAAATTTGTTATTCTACACGTGCAGTGAGTTAAACATATAACAGTTTTGTTTATTGAAGTGCTAATTAAAATGAAATTTATTATCCTAGAAATTGTTATAGGTTAAGTTGATTTGCACTCTGCCTTGAGCCGCCTCTAGACAGAAAAGAAAACTATAGTTATTCTGCACAAACCGGTAAATTTGATAACTAAAAGTTTAATTTGAATATTTCCAGACCCCCTTTACTCTTTGGAATTTATAGAGACAGATAACAGCGCCAATAGGTCTTTGGCGATACAACGTTGAACTGCAGCGTTGGAAGAAAACACGCACACCATCATCTATACATTTACGAACCCACACCACTGACCGGAGGGTACAGCGCAAATCAAAACACGAAGTGGTGTCATTACTCATCGTCATCACTCAGCTTCGGCAGCTTTAAGTGCACCCCACACTACAGAAGTTTTGTCAATGTTTCCATCAATAATTTCATGTCAATATTTTCTACAATATTTTCTGGGGTTCATCAATACAGGGTCGCTCCTCACTAACATTTATGTATCCGATGGAATATTGCGAGTCAAATCACAACCACCTTGACAAAAGTTGCCTAGAAACAGGCACCATCTGCTGCTGTAGTCAAACAGAAGGAGAAAATGAGGGGAAATATTGAAACATGAAATCAAACTTTTCTAATTTTACGTCAATATGTTCATCAATATTTCCGTCGTCAATATTTGTATCAATATGATTGTCAATACTTTTGAGTATTGACAATATATTTGCCCGTGTGGTGCTTGCTTTAGTTTACGATTTAATTCGCCGTCATTGAAAAATACCTTCTTTATAAAATAGAAAAGTAATCATTATTCCAACGTAATTTTTGAATTGGCGTCTTGCAGTGAAACTTTTCCAAGATTTCGCCACCTACATTTCGAAGTGAGAACTACTAGAAGGAGGATAGTTTCCAAATTCTCCAAGTAAAACAGACGATTTTTGGGGCAAATCGGTCCATAAAGAAAAACTAATAATTTCCGGTGGATACTTTTGCTTGAATCGTGTAAGAAAACGTGTTTGCAAACTAACTGTTATTATTTCGGTATGGATCGGAGATGTTTTCATGGAAAATTATGCATAACAAGTTTGCACCCACAGGGAGAGGTTACCTCCTGCGCAGCTGCATTTTTCAGAAAATGGTGAATATGTGCGATTTCCACTAGGATGAAAGTGGAAATTAAGTGAATTTACTTAGGAAAGATTGTATCATGCTGGTGATAATGAAAATGGTTGTATAGGACGCCAATATTCGATAAATGTTCATTTTAGCCTTTTTTAGGTAAACAGATTGATACTCACAATTTTCGACGGAAAACGCAACGGAACTTGATTTACTCAACACGCACCATACTATAAAATGGTGCTAGATGGTCTTCAAAGTGATAACAAGATGACAAATCATCTTTATTTTGAGTAATTGAGTAATTTACTTCTGTTTACCATCATATTTACGATGCAGCATTGATGGAGCCGTGAAATGAAATGAATATATCTTATGAAAGTTCACCTGGAAAAGTCAAAGATGCACATCAGTCTGATCGTAAAAACGTTTTCTTCTTCAATTCGAATGTTATATTGGAAGGATTTCACGTAGGCTTGATGAAAATTATGATTTAATGCTAATTTTCACGAATTTTATATGCAGTCTGTCAACATTATCATCATCATGCAGTGGTGACATCTGCGTTGAGCTTTTGCGGCAATCTTCCAATAGCCAATAGCGTGCAGCGTTCAGGGGTTTGACATATAGCTGCATACACGTACTCAACATCAAAACAACAAAACATATCAGGGTACCGCTAACAACGTTGCAGATGTTCGGTACGCAGCAAACTTAGGCGATATGACAGCCATATCCGCATCCCCTGGCAGCGTTGGCCAAGGAAGACGGCATATTTTATTACGTTTGTTTAGCAATGATTTCGATACGTTGCGTTTTTTCCATGTATACTTCTATGCAACTTCTATTATGTTGAGCAACAGCTTCATAAATCATCAATTCTCGATTACTTTTTCGAAGGGACGTATCTGCATTTATTATTGTTTTCTCAAGGTTTTCTGATGCGTATAACGTGGTAATGATTGAAAATGGATGCATTCATAACGAAGTGAGAATCTTGCTATCGCAATATAATGATGATGACATCGATCATCCTCTTCCCTCGGCTGATCATCAACGTCCACGCTGGCATATGTCATGCTGACACCTATCATTTATTGAGCCCTGGTGGTAAAGTTGGCGGGGAACTCCCAACAGTTTCAATGTGCACTCACGAGATGGCACTGCGATCACATAAGGGTGGTGTTCGAGGAATTGATTTGTAGGATATCTTGTTAATGAAATATCTTTGGTGAAGGTAATCGATTCACCCCTCGAAACATGGGAAAAACCAATCACCCCTCATTTTATCTGTCAAACTTTCATAGCGAATCAAAACAAACATTGTGTAGTACTAGAATTTCGACTAGAATGGGCTACGTTAATCGTTTGCTTGGGACCAATAGGCTAGTCAAGTAGTGAGCCAATTTTAAATCGTTAGTTTCGTATTGATTGTTGGTATAGATCGCCATCGGACCAATTACGCTAAATTTGGACAGGTAAATCAGATGATGACTGTTTATAATCATCATTGTGGAATGATTGACCTAAATATGCCCGCAACATAATTAAAAATATATTTCAGAACCCTGCGAAGTCATTTAAATCGACAGTGAGCATTCATAAGGGCGTATACGCGATGATCGATTCTCTTCATCGATTTTCTCTTTTCTTAATAACTCGCTAGATTTAACGTTTGTCGGTGCGTTTGTTGTTGCTTTTGAAAGCCAATACAACCTATTACAACTCTACATTGAACAAATTCTACAAAATTGTTTCGCTTAGCTGTAGCAATGCAAAGAGAAAAACGATGAAGAGAATCGATCATCGCGTATACGCCCTTATGCATGCTCACTGTCGAAATGTTTTTAAAACCTACACTCAAAGATAAATTAAATCAAAAAAGCTTAAACAGTATGCAGATTCCCGCTTCACCTTATTGAGTCCGAGCCATGATTACTTCGGCAGTAGTCATGCATGATTAAAATCGAAATAATCTTTCCAGTATTAAATCTTATTCTTTTTCAATACTGATATATAACCAAAAAAGATTAAAATTCAATCAAAATTAATTAAAATAAAATCAAAAATGATTAAAATTTATTCAAAAAAAGATAACCTACAATCTAATCAATCATTATTTACCTGGGATTAATATCAGATGCTTATTTTTTAGAAAGAGAGGATTAATTTTTAATCATTCGATATGATTAAACTGAGATTAATGTCAAATTGATTAAATTTCAAGCAAAATGGGAATAGTTCAATTTATCAGTGTATAGCTCAGAAGTTCAGTTGTATCACCAGGCTATACCCACCATGGTATATACCCCTCGAAAACTCACTGGAACGCTACACGTGCTGAAGACACAATGACATTTATATAAGGTCTGGGCCAACAGGCAGCTTGCTGGTGTTAGAAGCAAAAATGTTGTAAACATTGCTGAACATCTGCGAACAGATAGATATACGTCACTGCCAACATACTGAGAACAGATAGATATACGTCACTGCCAACAGCTGTTTCGTGTAAAAAGATAAACATTGCAATATAATACGAACACCACTAACCATTTGCACATTTCACTAACACCAATAAGCCCTTTGGCCCAGACCTTATATAAACGTCATTGCTGAAGACAGTCACTCATTTCATGTTGTCACACTCGCACAGCAAACCCACTCGTCTTTTGTCTCCTTTTATCCTACAGGTCAGCTGTATAGAGCTGCATCAGCACAGCAACTCCAACAACGCCAACAAGCATCAGCAAGCAGATCATTTTCCATTATCATTCCATTCGCTTTTGTGATTTCGATTTGCAAGTGTGCTCGTCGCGTTGTGAAATGTAAGCGCATTCGGTGAAATAACAGTGAAAATATACGGGATTTCGTATTCGATTTATAATTTCCTCGAATACCTGTGCATAAACATTCGTTTCGGATTCCTTCGAAAAAAGGTGAGTTTTGCATGGAAACGTTGTTGGGCTGATGGAGCTCGTACCTCGACCTGAGGGCGGTGCTGCGTAGCACCATCCCGGAGGAGCTCAGCCCGCTGATGGAAAAGGAAAAAAATAAAAACATGCCATTGCAACCAGTGTTTGTTTATGTTTGTTCTTCGAGCAATATTAATATTTATTTTGGTGAAATTTAATTGCGCCTTCCACAATACTTAGGCCTAAATTTAAAGAGGAAGAAGGCTTTCATCGAATTATGCTTTGTAGTTCGTTGAAACTCAAGTGATGTACAAATTCCTGTAAGGGTAATTTTTATGTGGATTATAATAAAAAAAAAAAGTAAATTCTCGAGTAACATTTGAAATGGGCCTATGTCCAAAACGTAAACAAATCGGGTTTTGATACCATTCTTTAGCACAGCTTGATAGCTACTAATCGTGTAAGAAAGTTCCGCATAATCAAGAAAAATCATTAAAAATAACTCGATTTTCGAAATGCCCGATCAACGAAATTTTTCGATTCATTAATGGGCCCGCACGCTAAAACGGCCAACCATTCATTTATTTCATTTCATTGATAAGCCTAGTGACGTAGAAGGGCCGATGATTGAAAAATTTCAAACCAAAGCTAGGCCCTACTGCTTGAGGCAGGGCCGATGATTTGTTTTGAAATTATTTGACTTTGCGAAAAGGCTTAGCAAAGGGCCTACCATTTCTGATGACAAGCACAACGGCTTAACAAAAAGGGCCTATCCATTGAAAGATTCACAAAAAAGGTTTATTAATTTATGAAATTATATTGTTATCGATTTTCATATATTTTTGAAAGCTTTTCGCAAATTTTGGATGTTGTATACTGAGATACAGTTACTATTGTTATTGTGAACAATATAAATGCCTAAAATACTTCAATTTTCTTAAATATGAATTGAATAGTGGCGGTCAAAATTTAAAATTCATTTTCTGGTTTGTTTACGTTTTGGACATAGGCCCATTTCAAATGTTACTCTAGAATTTGTTTTTTGTTCATCTGCGAACCCGAGTTATTTGTCAGAGCGAACCGTGAACTGAACAACAAAAGTAAACCGAAGAAAATATGCACCTAAAACATCGAATACAAATTCGCTTAAAGAAAAAAATGGCACTGCCTTGAGGGGGTGATTTCAAAAGCTTGATGAATTGCAAAATTAAAGTGTTAACTTATTGTAAATTACTTCAGTTATAGAATAAATATTGGTCGAATCTGCGATGTTGAAAGTGTTAGGTACTTTCTTTACATTCAGAACAGAACCGTGTTAAATGATATACGTACTTATCTCTAGTCCAGACCACTCTTAACTTCACTCATATAACACTCGTTCCAACACTTTTCTTTTTCCCATTAAGAATTTCTAATAAACATTCGACGGAACAATGTCATCGCGATTGAATTTGGTTCGTGCGTTCCTCAACAAGACGGGACAGTCCGGCGATGGCGACCATTCCCAGAGCCTTTCTTCAGGCGATGGCGAAAGTTCAAAGCCGCTTTCCGCTGGTGAAGCTCCCAGCGAGGGGCTGGACAGTGGCTTCCAGACGCGTACCCCGGAGAGTACTCCGACCACACATCGTAAGGGCATCGGGCGTGGTCAGCTGACATCGGACCCTAGCAATACCATCGGAACGATTACCACTTCATCCGGAGCGGACTCGTCGGAATCGGACAAACAGTCGAGCATTACATCAGCCATGCCTTCTTTGAGTGGCCGTGGACGAGCCCAGTTCATACAGACACTGATCCGTCAACCACTCGAACAAGCTCCAACTGTGGCATCGGATGATGTTTCGTTGGTTTCTGCGAGAGTGTCGCAAATTGGTTTCGGAAGAGGACGATTCATTCAGCAGCTGTTGAATACGGTTGCCGACAGCGAGAGCAGTGAAGTGGCATCCAGTGTCACCAAGCGCGATGATATTTCGGAAAAGATGTCTCAAACAACGACCAGCGTAACCGGAACTGTTGAACTCGCGGACAAGACTCCTGTCATCAAGATGGGAACTCATGGTAAGCTTACCACTATGGCTCCGCAATCATTATCGCTAAATTCAGGCATCATTCTTAGGAACACCGGTCCAGTTGTTGACGAACTACATTCGCCTTGCGTGTGATCCGGATCGTGGACTCTTCGAATACGAAGTACGTTTCAGCCCGCTGGTGGACTCGAAATCAATCCGGGCCCGTTACATCGCGCAACATAAGGAGGTTCTAGGAAACGCCAAAACCTTCGACGGAGTTAAATTGTTCCTTCCGAAAAAACTCCCGGACGAGGAAATCATTCTGCAATCGCAGAATCCTGTCGATGGCCACGAAGTGACCATCAAAATCCTGTACAAACGCAAGCAACGGATGAGCGAGAACATTCAGTTCTACAACATTCTCTTCCAGCGCATTATGAAGGTGCTCAAAATGATCGAAATGGGCCGCAAGAACTTTGACCCCTCAGCTCCGAAGCTGATTCCGCAACATCGGCTGGAGATTTGGCCCGGTTACGTCAGCGCAGTAGATGAGTACGAAGGAGGCTTGATGTTGAATCTGGATGTGTCCCATCGGGTGTTGCTTCAGACAACGGTCCTGGATCACATCCGCACGCTGGCCCGGGTCAATCCACAAGACTACAAGAACATGGCCACCAAGTCGCTTCTCGGTGAGTACGGTTAAATTTCGCAAATTGGTTTTTTTTTCAAAATGTCACTTAGAAGCATGTTGGTTTGTTTCTACGGAAAATAATCCATTTCATCATCAACTTCTCACGCGCTGCTATGTTGTCATTTGATCTTGTCCTTTGTCATGCCAAGGAGAGATTTTTTTCGTCGATCCTTCGTAAAGTACCTTTCTTCTACTATTTAAAAAATACGGCGGTGTTGAAATCTTCTGAAGAACCTAAAAATGAACAATTTTTTGAGAAAAGTTCCCTCCCGTAGGCCATTCTTAAGCACCTTGCCGAAGGTGGGACAGGGTGTCGACTACCTGGAAAATCAGTTAATATCAGGGAATTCATTTTTAGACCTGGAAAATCAGGGAATATCAGGGAATTTACTTGAAATTCAGGGAAATATTTCTTAATCACAGAAGTATGCCAAACTGCGCTATCTTCAAACAACTTAATTACTCGGTGTAGTTTAAGGATGGTTTAAAATTTTAAATAGAGTTGCGAATTTGTGGTTTCTCAATGCTTGAGTGGTATTTTGGCAAATTGAGCAAGAATTACTAAAATAAAAGGGTATATTAATGATTTTGCGCATAATATAAATTCAGCTCCTACTGGGTGTTGACACATTCCTGAGTTAAACTGAGATCCTGAGGGTTGATAAAAAAAAATCTATTTCCGTAGACACTAGACGTTGCTATTTGTTGCAAAATATAACCTCCAAATGGGTATATGCGTCTCTTAATAGATGTTACGCCTAATTGCGTCTGACGGAGATCCTTTGGGCGCATCGGAGCGCTTTTTAACAAATTCAAGACTGGTAAAGAGTTAAGAGAAGAAGATGATTTTTTTCTGATCACTTGTAGTTCTTGTTCCTTATTGTGTTCTTAACAGCCTGACTAGCTCAGAGAATAAGTTAAATGAGTATTTACAATGATGCCCTTGGAATAGCACTTTTAAGACTGAATAATGATTCAAGAAACGTAGACTAACATTGCCTCGACAGCATAGATTATTCAGTATTCTAGTTCTTCATTGTGAATCTGGTTAGCTTGGAAAATTGTCTTCTCAATGAAGTTTTAGTATTGCAATTGCAATGAAATTAAGCTACTGAATTTTGGAGGTGAAAGCGTTGTTTTAACGATTTCCCACCCTAGGAATCTGGCCGTGAATTAGTGTTTTGTTAAGCGTATTATCCGGAAGATTTTTTTTTTGTGGAGCTGGCTCTCAAATTGTACTCAAGGGCAAAAAAATATAAAGGGATTAAAGACAAGTGCTTCATATGCAAAATGTAGGAGAACTGCTTCTAAGGGTGAGCCATGCCAAAGACTTCTTCTCATATCATAAAGTTAATCGAGTTTGTAGATTGATATCGAGATGGTTGCAGCGACAAACCGACAGGAATGACCATAGAAATTACCACGAAATTTCAGCTCCAAGCACACTACCGACATCTGTCTCCGTGTTCGCGGAAATCGTTTATCTAAGCCACGAACACGAATGATCTATTCTGGACAAGTTGTGGTCAATGAATGGGCAATATATTGCTGGTACTTGCCTGTAGAAGCAAGCTAGAATCCAGCATATCCAGCCACAGGTCCAGGACGACTATGCTAAGCGGCAGGAATCGGCACGACTGAACTGGAGGATCGAGATGTGCAATGTGGCCTCAGGAGCTTCCAAAAAGCGGTCTATTGGGACGCACAAGATGGGAGATGAACTATGCAGTGGCGTTTGCTTAGCCTCAATCAACCTGTGCACTAACTCTCAAAACATAAACAATTATCAAAATATTGCTTGCGATGAATAGATATCGAGTAAAATAGAAGATTAAGTCCTGAGAACTTCGAGATTTGGGCGTAATTGCTTTTGTAAACAAACACGTCAATCACCGATTTCTCGCGAATAAAAGCTCAATCTCGAGACCAAATTATACCACATGCTAGATGAATTATTCCTCAACATGTGTGTGTGGTTAATTTCCTACGCTGAGCCTTTACTCGCGAAAAATATAGTCAATTGAAGCGTTTGTTTAGAAAAGCAATTACGCTCAAATCACTCCGGAAGTGTATTTTTCAACCGATTCGAGTATGAATATTCCATTATATCTGGTTTTGAAAGTTGGTGCACAGGTAAAAAGTGAGGTTACGAGACGCGATTGGAATTATCATTGTTCGAACAGTAAATCGGATGTTGTAAATGAACTTACTGTATTAGAAGTGCTTATCACCTTCAAACAGTTGGCAGATGCTTGAGGCGTTGCACTGGAACTCGGAAGCTGGTCAGGCAAATTACTGTACCGTGAGTAGATCAGCTTTTCGTGGTACGTTATGGGATGTAAAATCTACCACCGATTGCTAGTCCTGACTACTTAAAACTAGGGGAACAGGACTTTTCAGTAATCAACGGAACACATTTTAGTCCTCGTTACTTGTTATGCCTTGTTGATGATGACAAGACTCGAAACAAGGAAAAAAATAGTTAGTCTTCATCCATGTGATTCCTAATCTTCTATTCGGTGTACCCTAGTTTGAAGAGGTTTCTTCAACTACATCATCGACGTGCACTGCCCACACGAAGGGAGACCCGAAGACGAGAAAAAAGCATTTTATTCGCAGCTGGAGCAGTTATACGACGGCTGTTCGCAACGGGACGATCTCTCAGGTAAGACGGGAGGCAATGTACAAACCGGCAATAGGGCCAACGGTGCGTGAACTTTGCAGCCTCCCTTTTTTCCCCCGCAAGGATATCCACAAAGCCACCTGGTGATCATCTGGATCCACACACAGAAAACCAAATCGACCACGTTCTAATCGACAGGAAATTCTTCCCCGACATTATCAACGTCCGCACAGTCTGGCGGATAGAATCTCGGGAACCAATTGATATGTCAAATATCGGAACCAATCGAGCAAATCACGACCAACAACAGAAAAGAGCACATCAGCTATTGCGAACCAAATTTCGGTTACCGGTTTCGCATGACTCAAGGCTCGCCTACACAAACTAACACCATCTTTATGTTGTGGAAATTTTCATCTATACGATGATACTGGTAATTTACCTTCGATTGGCGAAGAAAGAATAATCAACATTTTGTTTATAAAAGGTGATAGTACCTTTTCAATTGTTGGTCTACAATATATTGAATTGGTTCCGCTTTTTGATAGATCGAAATTCTATCCGCCAGACTATGAATATAGCAACTATATGCAGCACGGGCGAGAATGCTGCAACACCGCACGAGATTGAATGTGGAGCGATACAGACAAGCGCGGAACCAGCAAAACTTGTTTTTTCGTGGAAGAAGCGTCAGCAGGACAATCTACGAGAAGCTAAATAGCTCGCGCAAAGGCTACGTGCCGCAAGCCCATATGTGCAAGGACTTGGACGGTAACCTTCTCACGAACGAATGTGAGGAGATTGAGAGGTGGAAGCAGTACTATGACGAGCACCCCAACGGTGATGCAGTAGAAAACGAAGGTGGTACGGCAACATACCTTGGAGCATGCGCAGAAGACGACAGACTACCGGCCCATGATCTTCCACAAGTTGAGGGGGAGATCGGTCGGCTGAAGAACAACAAAGCAACTGGTATAGATCAACTACCAAGTTCAATAGCTCACTCAATACGGTGGTGAAGCACTGGGGAATTGCCAAGATTTGAGGAAGGAGACAGGGTGCCTTCCATTCATTTTGACTAAAAAAATGTTTTATGAAATTATGGAATAATAAGATATTATGATGATATTTTGAATGTGTTAGTAATAAGAAAAAAATGTAAAGTTTGTGTTTCATACATCAAACTTGCAAATTTAGCTTTGACAGAGTCACAATGAGCGTTTTTCTGATCGCCTCTTCGCGAAGAGTGGATGAGATAAATTACAAAATCGCTTATTGCGCTTCTTATGTAGCAAAATTGGCAGGTATTATGTGTCAAATACAAACTTAACAATCTTTTCTTGTTGTTTACATAATCAAAATATTTTCATAATATCCTATTATTCCGTAATTTCTTAAAGCATTTTTTTTAGTCAAAATGAATGGAAGGCACCCTGGAAGGAGATATTACCGGAGGAATGTGTGGAAGGTGTCGTATGCACAATCTACAAAAAGGGCGACAAGTTAGATTGCTGCAACTACCGCGCGATCATACTGCTGAAGCGGTGCCGGTGGTGTAGTGGTAAGCGTGATTGCCTCTCACCCCAGCAGGCCTGGGTTCAATCCCAGTCGGCGCCGCCGGGATGTTCTGAGGCATAACATCTCTGATCACGCATTCCTTCGGAAGGGAAGTAAAGCCGTTGGTCCCCGGTTCATGAGTTGATGGGTCGATAGGTAGGGTCCAGGTGTGGGAGCTGCCTCTCTGGCGTCGGTAGCACTGGTGCTCAGCACGGAAAACAAATCAAGGAAGAAAAAAATCATACTGCTGAGCGCCGCCTACAAGGCATTCTCCCAAATTCTATACCGCCGCATGTCACCATTTGCAACAGAGTTCGTGGGGCGATACCAGGCGGGATTCATGAGTGCCCGCGCTACCACGGACTAAATTTTCGCGATTCGGTAGGTTCTGCAAAAATGCCGTACATACAAGATGCCCACACATCATTTGTTCATCGATTTCAAATCCGCATACGACACAATCGATCGAGATCAGCTATGGCGGATTATGCACGAGTACGGATTTCTGGATAAACTGGCGCGATTGGTCAAGGCGACGATGGATCGAGTGATGTGCGTTGTTCGAGTATCGGGGACACTATCGAGTGCCTTGGGATTTTGAAAGGGGGTGACGGCAAGGTGATGGACTTTCGTGTCTGCTATTAAACACTGCGTTAGAAGGTCTGATCAGAAGAGCAGGGATAGACACTAGTGGCACGATCTTCAGAAAGTCCATCCAGCTTCTTGGCTGAGCCGATGACATCGACATCATGGCACGGAACTTTGAGACGATGGTCCGCACATCAGACTGAAGGCTGAAGCTAGGCGTATTGAACTTGCTATCAACGCATCGAAGACAAAATACATGAGAGGAAGAGGCTCTAGGGAAGACAATGTTAGCCTCCCACCCCGAGTTCAGATTGACGGTGACGAAATCGAGGTGGTCGATGAGCTCGTGTATTTGGGCTCACTGGTGACCGCCGAAAATGATACCAGCAGAGACATTTAAAAACACATTATGGCAGGGAATAAAATTCGCCGCCGCACGAAGTTGACTATATCTACAAGACGCTGATTAGACCTGGACTATGCTCATGGAGGACCTACGCGCCCTTGGTGTTTTCGAACGGAAAGTGTTGCGTACCATCTACGGTGGAGTGCAGATGGTTGACAGAACGTGGAGGAGGCGAATGAACCACGAATTGCACCAGCTGCTTGGAGAACCATGGCACGTCGTAAGAATGCCGAACGATGACCCAGTGAAAATGGTTCTCGAAAGCGACCCAACAGGAACAAGAAGCGGCAAAGGTAGAAGGCGACCTGCGGACCCTTCGCAGACTACGAGGCTGGCGACGTGTGGCCAGTAGAGTGGAGACGACTTCTTTGGACAGCAGAGGACATCAAGGCCTTAGCCTGTTTGGTAAGGTAGGAAGTGGTTAGGACTAGGGTTCTGATACATGGTCATTCGGTGTCATTGCTTCACGTTTGTAAGGTGTTCTCACTCTTCGAAGGGTATAAAGAGCGAGACCTTTAAATTAGAATCGATTCCTTGCGATGAAGGCAAGAATGACAACTGTATCAAAACCGAATACTTTATCATTTCTCAACAGAGGACCCCACCACCGTACTCAACTGCAGGGCAAGAACGACTCTGATGGCAGGAAATAGAACGACTTTAATAGCGGGAAACAGCTGGCGCGACTGGATCGAGAGGTTCGAGGTCTCCCATAAGGCGACAGGCAGTGCGTTCTGGTTTACAGCATTCCAATTCACAACGCGGCATCCAATTCTGAATCAGCATACTGGGTCTAGCCCGGAGATGGGAGTTGAGAACTCGGAAGGTTCTGGAACAGGAGAGATCGTGATGGGGTACGCGTGTTCAAACGAGGCATCCACATGTCTTTTGAACCTTGCAGATGGTTTCACGGAACAAAATTCCTTTCGGCCATGTATCCGATGTAAGAGCAACTTCGCGTAGTTTGGAAGCCAATCCAACTTTGTACGAGATGAAGCTCAAGGCCCACACACATTAGATCGCTCAGTGCATCTTAGCTTATTGCGTGCTCTCATCTTAGTGTTCTGAATGCACTTCCACAGATATTAATTGAGAGCTTTCGATGCCCGTACCATTTCTGCATTAGTATAATTGTGTGGTAAGTACAATCATACTCTATGCCCAGGGAAGTCGAGAAATTTTGCAACCCGAAAGATTTCCTCGACCGGACCGGGAATCGAACCCGCCGCCTCCGGCTTGGTAATACCGTGCCTTTACTGACTTGGCTATGATGCCCCTACTCCCCTAGGTGGATCAATCTGTCGCAAAACGCCATGACGGATTCTTGATCAGCTTTAACTGATTTAGCGCATTGGTCACAGACGGAATTCATGGTGACTCAGTTTCCAAAGCTAATTTAGAGACAGCGGTGGAGATGCTCTAATACGCTAGGATGAGTTGGATTCTGCAGAGCGTCTGGTATCCAGCTTTCCATGCTCGATAATGGCGACCTGTTTGTATGAATAAATCGACAGTGAGCATGCATAAGGGCGAATACGCGATGATCGATTCTCTTCATCGACTTTCTCTTTGCATTGCTACAGCTAAGCGAAACAATTTTCTAGAATTTGTTCAATGCATAGTAGTAACAGGTTGTATTGGCCATCAAAAGCAACAGCAAACGCACCGAGAAACGTTAAATCTAGCGAGTTATTAACAAAAGAGAAAATCGACGAAGAGAATCGATCATTTCGTATAGGCCCTTATGCATGCTCACTGTCGAAATGTATCCTTTACTGTGCTTTTTGACACTATTTGGAGGTTGAGATTTTGACCCCTCCCTTTTCCCTCTCACAGGAACAGAAGAAAATGGAACAACATACGCCCTCCAGTTAGTGTCAACAAGCACAGTGAATGAAATTCTTAAGTCTATTTACCTCAGTGTAACAGCGCAAAATCACGACGATGTGAATGACAACAACAATACCGTGGTTCTCGAGCTGGAAATGCTCTATGTGCCCAATATTAGGGACACTTAGGCCGACCTTAGCTCATGCGGTAAAGACGCAGCTACAAAGCAAGACCATGCTTGAGGTGGCTTCGATATGACGTATTTCGTGCTTTTACCGAAGTAGTTCTCTACCTTAGTCTAAGTTTTATATTCTATGTTCTAAGAGACCAGTCATTTCGAGTGGTACGTTACAGTTTTCAACCATTCATACGAGCATTATCTGCACCTCTCGTTTCATCTGTAGAACTTCAGGGAGTGGCCAAACCTCCAGCAATGTTGGTACTTTCCACTATGTCCTAAGTAGTTGGTACCAGTTTCCCATGCCAATTGGTGTGTAATCTGCTTGAAGCACCACCGTCCTATTTTTGTGAATGTATTCTGTTACCTCTCTAGGAATTTTAAAAGTCCTCCCAATTTGTCTTTGTCTTATCGTGCGGTAATTTTGCTAATTTTTCTTTTACCCGCAAAGGCGAACCAGCCCAAGGATTAACGTAAACTAAACTCTTAACCCCACGCCACACAGAAGTGTTCTCAAATTAATTGCTAATCTTATTTTATTACTTCAGGTGCCGTCATCTTGACCCGATACAATAACAAAACCTACCGCATCGATGACATCCTGTTCGATCAGAATCCCACGATGACGTTCATGGCCAACGATAAACCCATTTCCTACGTGCAGTACTACAAACAGCAGTACAACATCGACATTCATGACCTCAAGCAGCCGCTTCTGATCAATCGCAAGGAACGACGCGTAACGGGTCAGGACAAGCCCCAGGAGATGATCATGTGCTTGATTCCAGAGATTTGCTACCTCACCGGCCTGACGGACGACATGCGAAACGACTTCAAGGTGATGCGGGACATTGCGGCGTTCACCAGAGTGTCACCGACACAGCGCTTGAACAGCATGCATCAATTTTGTCGCAATGTCAACGAGAACAAAGAGGCCCGGGAGATTCTTGAAGTGTGGGGCCTCACGCTGGACATGGAACCTCTGCTGATGAAGGGCCGCCTCATGGCAGAGGAGAAGGTCAAGTTTGGAAATGCAGAGGTTGGTGTCGGCAAAAGTGGGGATTTCAACCGAGCTGTCACCAGCAATAACGTCATGCAAGCGGTTAATATTCGGAACTGGCTGCTGGTTCACACGGTCAAGGATACGAAAATCGCCAAGTCGTTTATGGATTGCGTCGAAAGGAGCTGTCGACCGATGGGTATTCAAATCGCTCCACCAGCGATCGAAGTTCTTCCAGCGGATAGGACTGAAATGTACGTTCAGCTTCTGCGTACGAAAATTCGCCAGGATACGCAGATCGTTGTCATCATTTGTCCCACCTCCCGGGATGATCGGTACGCCGCTATCAAACGTATTTGCTGTGCCGAAATTCCGGTTCCGTCCCAGGTCATCAATGCCCGAACGCTGAGCAATGAGGCCAAAAATCGTGCCATCGTGCAGAAGATCATTCTGCAGATGAACTGCAAGCTGGGTGGAACGCTCTGGAGCATTCATATTCCGTTCGACCACGTGATGATTGCCGGTATCGATACCTACCACGATCCGAAGCAGAAGAGCAATTCTGTGTCGGCATTTGTGGCCTCGTTGAATGGGAGCTACACCAGATGGTACTCGCGGGCCTGTATCCAGAGCAAAAAGGAAGAGTTCATCAACGGATTGTGTGCGTCGATGGAAAAGGCACTGAAGGCGTACCAGAAGGCCAACTGTGTGCTGCCAAAGAGGATCATCATTTTCAGGTAGGTGAATGTTCTTTTCAGTGGCGTTTCCTTAACCTCAATCTACCTGTGTGCCAACTCTCAAAACATAATCAATTATCAAAATATTGCTTGCAATGGATTGATATCGAGTAAACTAGAAGGTTAAGTGTATATTTCAACCGATTCGAGTATGAATATGTTGAGTATGTAAAATTAAATCAGGTTTTGAAAGTTGGTGCACTGGTAAAAAGTGAGGTTACGGGACGCCACTGGTTCTTTTGAAACTTTTTTCGTCAAAAGGAGGACCATTAAAACTTCTTCCTTTATCTACAGAGACGGCGTTGGCGATGGTCAGCTGAGAATGTGCTCCGAATACGAGATTCCGCAGCTGCAGGAGTCATGCAAGTTGGTGGATCCCGACTACAAACCAGAGTTCGTCTTCATTGTCGTGCAGAAGCGCATCAATACTCGAATGTTCCGCGTGAGTATCCTCACCAAGTGTTTTTATTTTAAGCAACAATAATGATTGTGCCCCCTTCTGCTACGCTCACAGGTGGACGGTCAAAATTTGGAAAACCCAAATCCCGGCACCATTCTCGATCACACCATCACCCGCCGGAACCATTTCGATTACTTCCTGGTGCCGCAGTCGGTCCGGCAAGGTAGCGTCTCGCCCACTCATTACATTGTAGTTCACAACCAGCCCGACCTAGCCCCGGATATCCTGCAGCGATTGAGCTACAAACTGTGCTACCTGTACTATAACTGGCCGGGAAGTGTTCGAGTTCCCGCCTGCTGTCAGGTCCGTTACCACAAATCGAATTCCATTGTCGACGCGCTTTCACTTTTCTCATTATCTTTTCAGTATGCCCACAAAATGGCCTATTTGATTGGACAGTCAGTGAAACGGAACCCGGACGAATCGCTGAATGACAAACTGTTCTACCTTTAGATCGTTTTTTTTTGCTTTTTCCATATTTATCATTTTTACTCAACTTGTTTACTCAGTTCTTTTTTGGCATTTGATTTTATTGATTGTTATAACGAACAAACAGTTGAGTGCCTTCCTAATCGTTACGAGAGACACGAATCTCAATTGGAGATTTCTAAAGCCAAATATTATCAATGTAATGATTTTTCTTTCCTTTGCTTTGATTCGGTCAGCACAGTTAGTAGGAGTAGCAGCTGGAAACTCTTAGCAATACCTCACCTGTAAACTTTGACTTTCCGCCATGTTTGTTCCAGCTATCATTCGCTGCTATCTCGTTTAGTCTGGGATCCAACAGAAGTAAAAAAGTGAGGTTGGGAGCCGATTCTTTGTTCAGTTCTTAATGATATTTTTAAAATGATTTTCATAAATAAAACAAACTAGTAAACACATGTAATTTATGTTTTTTTCAATTTCTTGTCCATGATTATTGTATGTGTGTGTGTATGTATGTAAGGTAGCCACCATCCCTTCGAAGATCTTGTCTTGTATGCAGCTCCACTTAATAACAAGATCAAATTGAGCTACCGATCTGAATTCACAATATCGCTGTATGAAGCTTTTATGGGCAGTATAGCACTGACAAACCGACATGGTGGGCGTTGGCCAGATTTGGATTTTTCAGATAGGGTCAGGTGGGGCAAGTGTGCCACGTTAAGAAAATCTTTTAATAAACATAGGTTAATCTAACTGTTTTTTTTAAACAAATGATGTACAGTCAAGATTCCTATAGTACGGATTCGTTCTTGCCGGATTCCTATAGTACGGTTACCCCTGGATTCCTATAGTGCGGTCGATCCGGCATTAACGAATACACGTAGCATATGGGATTTGACCTAATTGGGACCAAACACTGATTGTAGGGTAATTTGAAGAGATAACTTCCTGGTGTCTTCTGAACAGTTATTAAACAGAATATTTGCCACCTTTTGGGAACATTTAGCATCCGGAAAGTCACAAGTCTGGTCCTGTGGAAGACCCGGAACATCCGTAAAAGTGGTCAATTCATGAAACTAATCCTAGAGCTCCGCGGTTTTTTCGAAACCGCTCATAGACGTTTTATCAGAATGAATTCGGAGTTGTGACCTGAATATGAACCCAGAGGACCACGGGATGGTCCACCGGAAGATCCGGAACATCCGTAAAAGTGGTCAATTCATGAATCTGATCCTAGAGCTCCGCGGTTTTTTCGAAACCACTCCTAGACATCTTATCAGAATGAATTCGGAGTTGTGACTGGAATATGGACACTGGAGACCACGGGATGGTCCACCGGAAGATCCGGAACATCCGTAAAAGTGGTCAATTCATGAATCTGGTCCTAGAGCTCAGCAGGTTTTTCGAAATCCCTCCTAGACGTCTTATCAGAATGAATTCGAAATTGTGAGTGGAATATGGACACTGGAGACCACGGGATGGTCCACCGGAAGATCCGGAACATCCGTAAAAGTGGTCAATTCATGCAATTTATCCTAGAGCTCCGTGGTTTTTTCGAAACCTCTCTTAGACGTCTTATCAGAATGAATTTGAAGTTGTCACCAGAATATAGACTCTACGGACTACGGGATGGTCCTCCGAAAGAACCGGAGCATCCGTAAAAGTGGTCAATTCATGAAACTGATCCTAGAGCTCCGTGGTTTTTTCGAAACCTCTCGTAGACGTCTTATTAGAATGAATTTGGAGTTGTTACTGGAATATACACTCCGAGGACTACGGGATGGCCCTCCGGAGGATCCGGAACATCCGAAAAAGTGGTCAATTCATTAAATTGATCCTAGAACTCCACGGTTTTTTTTTTTCAAAACCGCTCGTAGACGTCTTAGCAGAATGAATTTGGAGTTGTTACTGGAATATACATTCCGCGGACTACGGGATGGTCCTCCGGAACATCCGGAACATCCGTAAAAGTGGTCAATTTATTAAATTGATCCTAGAGCTCCACGGTTTTTTCAAAACCGCTCGTAGACGTCTTATCAGAATAAATTTGGAATTGTTACTGGAATATACACTCCGAGGAATACGGGATGGCTCACCGGAAGATCCGGAATATCCGTAAAAGTGGTCAATTCATGCAACTGATCCTAGAGCTCCGTGATTTTTTCGAAACCTCTCGTAGACGTCTTATCAGAATGAATTTGGAGTTGTTACTGGAATATACACTCCGAGGGATACGGGATGGCTCACCGGAAGATTTGGAACATCCGTAAAAGTGGTCAATTCATGAAACAGATTCTAGAGCTCCGCGGTTTTTTTTAAGACGTCTATTATTACAATGAATTAAGATTTGTGACCAGAAAATGGAAACTAGGGACTACGGGATGGTTCACTAAAAGATCCGGAACGTCCGTAAAAGTGGTCAATTCATGAAACTAATCCTAGAACTTCTCGGTTTTTGCGAAACAACTTATAGACATCTTATCAGAATGAATTCGGCGTTGTGACCTGAATATGGCCTCTGTGGACCATGGGATGGTTAACCGGAAGATCCGGAACATCCGTAAAAGTGATCAATTCATGAAATTGATCCCAGAACTCCGCGGTTTTTTTGAAACAACTTATAGACATCTCATCAGAATGAATTCGGAGTTGTGACCTGAATATGGATACTGGGGACCACGGGATGGTTCACTGGAAGATCCGGAACATCTGTTAAAGTTGTCAATTCATGAAACCGATCCTAGAACTCCGTGGTTTTGTCGAAACCACTTATAGGCGTCTTATCAGAATGAATTCAGAGTTTTGAATGGAATATGGACTCTGGGGACTATGCTATGGTCTTCCGGAAGATCCGGAACATCCGTAAAAGTGGTCAATTCACGAAACAGATTTTAGAGCTCCGCGCTTAATTCGAACCCACTCATAGACTGGTCCATAATTGAAATTGATCCTAGAGCTCCACGGTTTTTTCGAAACCACTCATAGACGTCTTATCAATATGAATTAGGAGTTGTGACCAGAAAATGGATGCTGGGGGTCACGGGATGGTTTACTAAAAGATCCGGAACATCCGAAAAGTGATCGATTCATGAAACCGATCCTAGAACTCCGTGGTGTATTTGAAACCAGTCATAAACATCGTATCAGAATGAAATCGGAGTTGTGTTTGGAATATGGACTCTGGAGACTACGGGATGGTCCTTTGGAAGATCCTGAACATCCGTAAAAGTGGTCAATGCTTGAAAATGTCCTAGAGCTCTGCGGTTTTTTTTTTTCGAAACCCTTAATTCAGAGTTGTGACCAGTAAATGGACGTAAAGTAAAGTATTGCTAAAAAAAATATCAAATTCTCCAAAAAGTGCACAATCCAATGGTCTCTTCAAATATTTAGATGGTTATAAGTAGTATAGGTTCCCTTCACCTTTCTAAGTAGATGATTGATAAACTTTACATCCGATCCCTTGTGATTGTAAAGATTGTGGCCATGTGTATTGTGCGATCTTGTATTTTGTTATTCAAAAATCAAAAAATATGTGCAATAATTTAGAATCTCGTTTCTAGCGTGTACAATTGGTTTAAAAAATCGACAAAATTGGTAACGAATTTTTTTGAATTGAAAGAAGAATATAATGATTAATTTTACCTTCTGCACTATTTACCAATTGGAAACATTAGTTCTATTTTGTAGCTTACAGTATAACCTTTGATATGCTATGGAGTTTTTGTATAGTTTGTGTAACATGTTTTACAAATATGTGAATTTTTTTTTTATGTTTTTCATTTGTTTTAAATGACACTCAAACACTCACTTATTAAATGTAACTCTGATGTGGCCATCACAAATTCAATGTTGTCTTCTTATTGTTTGTGATGTTTCTGATTATGTATTAATTTAAAGTTTCATATTTATTCAACTAAATTGTTTGAGTTTTCTGCTTGTTTTCTCTACATTAATCGAGTATTATCAAAACAAAAAACTGATGTTCGGTCACAAGACAAAAAAAAATATGTTGCAAAAGCATTAATTTCTGTTACACATATTACTAATGAATTGACTCTAGGATACACAGAACTTGTTTATAAAAAAAATTACATTTGCAAAAAAAATCCATGGTTGTAAATATGCTTAAAAAATACTATAAAAAAAATGCCCAAACTAAAATTGCCCCGTTTTACGGTACCCATGTTTTTGGGCAATACATGCAAAAACCAAGATACCCAAAAACTCTGCTTGTTCTATGGGAAAGAACCCATCTCTTCAAAAAGTGAACATAAAAATAATGGAAGGTGTTTATAGGTTATTTTCGATGCAAGCTTTGACTAAAATTAGGTACCTCATGTTAAGCGTGCACATGCAAAAACTGAGGCAACAAAAAATCTGTGTTTTGTATGAGGAATACCTCATCCCTCCAAAAAGTGCACATACTCAATGGATGGGTAATAATTATTAACGCACAAATGAGCAACTGTTCAGTTTCATGGATTTACCACTTTTAAGGATGTTCCAAATCTGCCGGAGGACCATAACGTGGTCCCCAGGGTTCATATTACAGTCACAACTCCAAATTCATTCTAAATAGTCGTCAATGAGAGGTTTCGAAAAATCTGCTGAGCTCTAGGATCAGATTCATGATTTAACCACTTTAACGGATGTTCCGGATCTTCCGGTGGACCATCCCGTGGTATCCAGTGACAATCAAAGAACAAACTATGCTAAAAATGGGCCTTTGAATAGAATTATGACCTGCTATAACGCATATTCCCAATCAATTGATGTAACAATGAATAAAATAACTCTAAAAAAAGCATTCTTTTCAAGGTTAGCCAGGCAATAATATTTAAGACATAGTTAATAAGCATTCATTGTAATTGGTCTACGATTGATTGACGACATAAATAAATAAATCACCATATTCCACTCACAATTTCAAATTCATTCTGATAACATGTCTAAGAGTGATTTCGAAAAATCCGCTGAGCTCTAGGATCAGATTCATGAATTGACCACTTTTACGGATGTTCCAGATCTTCCGGTGGACCATCCCGTGGTCTCCAGTATTCATATTCCAGTCACAATTTCGAATTCATTCTGATAAGATGTCTAGGAGTGGTTTCGAAAAATCCGCTGAGCTCTAGGATCAGATTCATGAATTGACCACTTTTACGGATGTTCCGGATCTTCCGGTAGACCATTCCGTGGTCTCCAGTGTACATATTCCACTCACAATTTCAAATTCATTCTGATAACATGTCTAATACTGATTTCGAAAAATCCGCTGAGCTCTAGGACCAGATTCATGAATTGACCACTTTTACGGATGTTCCGGATCTTCCGGTGGACCATCCCGTGGTCTCCAGTGTCCATATTCCAGTCACAACTCCGAATTCATTCTGATAAAACGTCTAGGAGTGGTTTCGAAAAAACCGCGGAGCTCTAGGATCAG